AGGGTTGCGATCCGTTGCCGGTCACGAAAAAAGACAAAAAGACAAAAAAAAAAAAAATCTAAGAAGGTAATAGTTCTGAACCAGAAAACAGAAAATTTAGATGAATTGGAGTGGAATGTCACGTTTCCCCAAAGCCCAGATCTATGATATAAACAATCCCAAATTGTACAAAAACAAGAAAAAGTGATTCTGAAATATTCTGGGATTGCTTTAGTAAGAATATATTTTTGTGGCATTATAAATACATTATAAATTATAATGGCATATAAATTAAGGGTCTACAAGGGTAAATTAAATCTTTCCATTACTTTCCTGCATTTTTTGAGGGAAATTACAAGCTATCATGGGATTGTAAATTTAGAGATTTGCAAAGATCTTGGGATTTATTCATATACCTTGTAGAAGTCAAGGGCCTTCTCTAAAAATAGGCTTGTAATAAACAACTTTACAAATGAATATTGGTCCACATGTCTGATAATTTCCCTAAGATTGCTTCCTAGTAGTGATATTATTAGATCAATACATGGCAAAAGAATCCAAAAGTTCCCCAAATTCAAAATATCTCCAATACTCTTACTAAAATTTTCCCATTTATGGCAGTGTTTTTAGAAAGCCTCTGAAAATGATATAAAAGGAAACTTTTTAAGGAAAGGTTGGATATTATTTACCAGTCATTCTGTTACTGATATAAGAAATGCACAATACAGCTGAGGGCTTGTGAAGTCCAGGTTGGAAATCATCTTGTCTACTACCAGAGGGGACAGGAGAGGAAGCTGGGGGTAGACGAGAGCTGAGGAAACCATGGTGACCATGGGTTATGGGGTAGGGGTAACAGAGGGAAGTTGAAAGGCAGAGAGTGTACACATCAACTTCTTGCATTTGTGTTTTTGTTCAGGGTCAAATCTTGCTTTACAATATTTGGCAATGTGTGAAATTTCTTATCAGGAGACAAATGAAAGGTTTCCCTCTCCTTGGGTTTCCTTTACTTCCTGAGATTTCTGTATTAAGAAACTGGACACTCTGAGCATCGTGAAGAGGGATTGGGAGCCCAGGAGAATCCAACAGAAGGTTCTGCAGAGCCTCCATGCTCTCAGCAGAAGGAACTGTCTGCTAACCAGTCATTGTCAGGATGACTTGGTTGAAATAGAATAGAATGCTTGAAAACCCAAATACAGAGCATGTATCCTGACAAAAGCATACAAATGGGAACTTGGTGTTGATGAAATAGTTTGTCTGGCCACTTAAGGTAAGGTAGCCCTGTAAAGTGTGAATCCTCCGAGAATGAATAGTAAATTCTCACAAACACGTAAACTTACATCAATCCAAAAGCAGATAGGAAGCAAGCATACAATGCTGCTTTTACCAAGATAAGTCAGGCTGCCAGGAACATGTCCTCCCTGGGATATGGGTCTATTGAGTACCACATAGCAGAATCACACAGTTGGAGCACTGAAAGGAACTTCAGGGACTAATAACTCTAACCCACTTCTCTATTCATAAATGGCAACAAATCCAGAGTTGCATCTAAATTATTCAACATTTATCTAATAACTATAGTGTGAGTGTTGACTGTGTGTCAAGTACTATGCTAAATGCTGGTGGTGCCCATATTAATAAGAAAGCCAGTGATGGTTTGGGGGTTTGCCACAAAAAAATGGGGTTGCTTATTTGTTTAAGAACCATTAACAATATTGTTAAGAAAGAGGAACTATTTCTCTTACCATAGATTCTCCCATTAATGGAACATTTTTTAAAAGTCATGATGTTTTGAGTGAGAGTGCCCGTTTTGTCAGAGAAAACGTATTCAATCTGGCCCAGTTCCTCATTAAGCGTGGTCGTCCGAGCTTCAGCAGCTGTTGCTGTCCCATAGTAATACATCTTCCGATCCCAGTTTATAAAATAACTGTGTCCTAGACGAATTACTTCCATACTGTTGTCCATTAAAACAGAAAAAATGAAATGCTCCATCAATTTCAAAACATACAAAGCTTTGCCAAAGGAAGAAGTCTGCCAAAGTCTTCAGAGTCTAGACTAAAATGTGGATGCTCTGTCCCTATAGGTCCTAGTGATCTTCAGAAGCATCTCAGCACAGAGTCTGTTCAGAAACCTAAGTCATTTCCTTGCAGCATGGTAAAACTATAGGCTGACTTCACATAAAGCCTTAGGGAATGTTACATGGTTATTTGGTTCTGTGGCTATTTATGTTAAACAGACCCAGCAGAGATTTCTTATGTAGCATATTAGTTTGCCTTTCCTCCTATATCTTAGGGGAAACTAATTATTTTTAAAGATGTTTGTTAGACGTTTGACCTAAAGAGATGTGTTGTCAAGGACTTTCTCTCCACTACATTGTTTGATGTGGCTTGGCTTTGCCAAAAGAAGTAGAAAGTAATATCTCCATGAAGCACTAACCAAACCATAATAGATATTGAGTAAAAGCAGGGGTGTAGTGTTATACTACTCTGCCCATTTACCAGGAAAAGAGTGTTGTCTCATGTTCTAGTGATTATTTATGACTTCCCAACTCCAGAAGCAAAATTTCTGTGGCCAAGGATATGAACTCTTTCAATATTTGTTATACTTAACACCAAACTGATTTCCAAAAGAGTCATAACAACATAAGCTTCTACCATCAGATTATGGAGAATTATCTTTTACTATATGCCAATTTAAGTGGTTTCTCATTACTATTTACTGCATTTCTTATCAGTGAGTTGAATATATTTTTCAGATTTTACTGGCCAATTGTGTTTTTCCTTTGAATTAGCTAATTATATCTATTTTATTTTTCCTATTCTTATATTAGTGTATTTCTTTTTTTATTTTAATTTGTCAATATACAACGTTGTTGACTTTTGTGTCCCTTTACCAATTATATTAGTGTATTTCTTATTGATTTGTAAGAGTTCTATTGTAAGCAAGATATTAAGGCTAACTCGTTGTCAAAAATAATGCAAATAGTTTATCCAGTTTATCATTTGCCTTTTAATTTTGTTTTTAGTTCTTTGACAAGAAAAAAATTTATCTTTTTAATCAGCCAAATTTATCAGTAGTTTATAGTATCTGTTTTGGGAGTTTTGCTTAGATAGGCCTTCCCTATACTAGGATTATATATACATTTATATTTTTCTAGTTTTTATTGATTTTTTCCATGTTTAATTCTTTATCTCAATTGGAATTTTTTGAAGTATGATGTACCCAAGAGGAGCTAATTTCAATGTTTTCCAAACGGAGAGTTTTTCATCACCATTTTTTTTTTTTTTTTTTTTTTTTTTTTTT